GACATTAGTAAATAAGAAAGTATCGTAATATGGAAATAAATTCCTATTTGTATATTGATTAATTTTATTACGAAATAATTATGTAAAATATAGAATATTAGGTAAGAAGATTATGATCAAACAAGGAAATGCAAAAATATCGATCTTTTTCAGTACCTTAAATCTCACTCAAAGCTCACAACGGTCAACACCAAATCTCTTCCTTAATTAACCTGTTAAACCCAAGTACCAGGAAACTTATTACCCATCTCGAATTACACTTTTAGCCCACAACCCCTTTACCCATCTCGAATTACACTTTTAGCCCACAACCCCTTATTATCCCATTTGACTCGTCCACAGCTGCAAATTTCCCTTTGGATCATCATTCTTTGATAATCAAGTTTCTTATTTCCAAAAAAAAAAAAAAAAAAAAAAAAAATCTCAATTCTTCGTTAATGTTCAAATTAAAGACGCGCATTGCGTGATTAGATCCATGCTCAATGTGTATTTTTAAATTAGTGTTTCATAATTGTTAAACATATTCATATAATAATGAGAGATAAAAATGTTAAAACCTGTAATAGTATACATTTTACCGTTCAAGGCATAGTAGGGCAGTGCGAATGTGGAGATTAAATTGTAGAAATACTGGAACAGTTTTGGAATTTTACACAGTAAAGACGGACTAATATTGACCAAATTCCAACTGTTAATTTTTTATTTGATTTCACATTTTTTTGTTTTTCCCGAAATGGTGATTTTCACGGAAATTAGGCACATATAATCAATCATATATTGTTACTGTAAGGATATTCAATAAGAATTAAATAGTAAGCTACTCCATATAGCCACAAATATCTTACTCGAAAAATATATGTATCTCCTTCTAAACTACTATTTCAGAGATACGATGTATGAAATTGTCCACATAGTAAACCCTTTGGTGTTTTATTTAAAGGCAACATATACATACAAAAACTAAACCCCATACACCTTCCTATATACTTGTATAAGTTACCAATGATGCTGTGAAGAATCCGATTCAAGAATTGTTGAGTCAATTATTGTCGGACAACATAGATTTGATAAAATTGGTGGTGATTTGATCTTGGTTACCTAAAAGAGAAAAAAGAGGTGAGAATTAATTGCAGATATCACAATCACTGGTCATAATAATATTTAAAGATTAATAACAAGCATTTTGGCTGATGAAGTGTAGAATTAACTTATTCTGAATTTAGATAAGACAATTTTATATAATAATAATAATAATAATAATAATAATAATAATAATAATAATAATAATAATAATAATAATAATAATAATAATAATTGCCTAAGCATTATTACTTTCTCATCATGAGTAAGCATATAAAAGACTATCTTTTCCTAACCATAATTAAAAAATCTTAAAAAATTCATCACAATATGACCTAAACCCATAATCTCCAAAAAGGAATTATGAGTAAACAACATTAAGGACATAGTAACTTGGCCAACAAAATATTCTCAAACTATTAGGAAATGATCCAGAACTAAAAAAAATGCACAAAAATTAGCGTTAGACAAATCAAGCAATCCTGTTAAGGACTTATCCTCATCACTACCTGCAGAAGCATTCATAAGAATAATCAAATTTGGTTGCTACTGCTTTAGCTAGACAGGTATATATTACATAGTTTGAACATTGGGCCACATAAACTATGAACCGCACACAAACTAATAAATTAAAGCTGGAAAACACCATAAATAAAACTGGTCAGAAAGCTGAAATTCATAAGAAAATTTCTCTAATAGCTCCACTAAAACCTTCTAAGTTATCAAAATTAAAGCTGGAAACTTAAAACACAGAATCAATGAATTAATGGAAAAACTTCTAATAATCTAACAAATAAATATAAGGAGTTCCACACGACGGTAAGCTGCAGAGATTCCACATAAAAACAATGAACAAAGACACTTTAAAAATAACTAAGAAATTAACTCTAAAAAAACAATGCTTAAAAATAAATTAATCTAGCCTTAATAGGAAGGTACCATATGTTTCACAGGAAGCATTTCGGCGTCTCAAGTTTATCTCTGCCCGTCGAGTCTCATTACAAGCCTACCGCTCCCTATGTTTTCTATACCTCTCATCACGACTGGATTTAGGGATTTCGGAATGGTTAGACTCCATAGTAGAATGGTTTATAAACAATAAATTCAAACTCATAAATGAGAATACAATTTTGAATTCTGATCTTTCTACAATAACATAAATAAATATTCTACATTAACAAAAAATGGAAACCAAAAAAGCATGTTAGAATACATAACTACTGATTGAAGAACAACTACATAAAAATGACAAAATCAGTATTAACATTGTACTCACCAAGGTGCATTTACATCACCACACTTGAAAGCAAAGCAAATTAAAGACAGAGCAGCAAAACAAATTAATGTCGAAGCCAACAATTTTCCAGTAGCTCATCCCATTAGCAATGCCAGAACTCTACCAAACAATCCCATTATGTAAATCAATTATTCCAATGGTCCACCAAGCTAGGTGGACCATCTTCTTCATTCAATTAATTCCATTAGCTCACCCAGCCACCATTCAACATACTCAGATTGCTCCAAATCAACAGATAGACTCAGTAGCAACCCATTCAAGCCAATCCTTTCCATTTATTTTATTTCACCAAGCCAAGCATTTCCCATCCATCTAGTGTATAATACTGCCCAGTCGGTTTCAACATAAGGCTTCATTTCCCATTTTGAGATCCACCCCATTGCCGCAACATCCTCCACTTAACAAAGCTTTGGACTGTTGCTGCAAGAAACCCCCTCCTTTTCCAGTTCCAAATTAAAAATCCAACACACCACCCACATTCAATGAGTGGAAATTATTACCTTAAGCCCCTTCAACAGTCCCCACGATCCAAGAGCTACTGCAGGGGAGGCACATATTTCAGCATATAATCGTTTAATTTGCTTTCAGCCTGTTTTTTAATGATGCTTTCCAAAGTCTTGCAGTCTCTAAGTGTAGATGCACCAGGCATCCCTCCCTGCAATTCAATGAAACATTCCAGGAGTAACATACTAATCAGTAGGGATCATGTAAGACTGATCACTTCTAACACTGAAACACAGGCATAACAAGTACCAGAATGGACAAGCAAATATACTATATATTCTAACCAATTCCCATAATTATCAAACTAACTTGGATTAAACCGACGTAACACATTACCTATGTTTCTTTGTTGAAAGGTATGTTTACGTGGTTGGCAAGGTCCATTTTGCAAGTATCTCTTTCGTACATTATCCCGATCATTCGGGTGATAGCTAATAATTGCCTTTACAAAGTACCAAATCTGATGCAAGACTTTCTAAATCCACTTCAATACGAGATTGCTTTGAGCATGATTCACTACAATCTTATGAAAAATTTGATTGATCAAATTTTATTTTTCGTTTAAAAAACTTCTCCATCTACTACATAGAAAAACAATAAGCAATTATAATTTTAATTAAATAAATACTTATATATATATATATATATATATATATATATATATATATATATATATATATATATATATATATGGTAGGGTTCCATTGAGAACATGTGCTTAGATGAGAACGTGAGAACACATCATGTGCATCCATCTAATAATTTTTAATGGTCTAAATTAAATTAAGTGTGTGCGAACGCGCATTATATGTGTGCAAACATGATTTAGTGCGTTTGCACACATTTAATGTGCGTTCGCACACACTTAATCTAATCTAGACCATTAAAAAATATTAGATGAATGCACATGATGTGTTCTCACGTTCTCACTTAAGCGCATGTTCTCATATGATCCTAACCCTATATATATATATAATTACTAAAAGTACAAAAGATGAAAATCTAAAAACACAATAAGTGTGAATGAAGGTTATACCATTTATTTATGTCCGTTTTTTTGTTACAATTTTTTTTAATACATTATGCTATAAAAGTTGTACTATACAATATTTTGGACAAACATACCCTTATCGTTATAACTTCCATTATCTTTTCCAATATTGTTACCATGCACATGCATATGCACCCACCATATATTTTCTTATCTTAATAAATAGTAATAATATATATGGGAGTTGTATGTTAATTTCCTAAAATATAAATATTAAATTTATTAAAATATTTTACATTATTATTATTATTAATTTAAATTTAAATATCTAAAATGTAAATAAATCTAGATTTTTAATATAAAGTACTAATATTGGGCATCTATTTTTTGCGCATCGCGCATAGGAAATACTAGTAATAAAACATAAGTGTAGCATATAGCACTTTAGTTTATAGAAACACATAATTATTTATTTATATATAATTTATAATGTCAAAGAGCTTGTAGTCAAGTGACATTGAGTGTTTCTCTTTAAGTGGAAGGTTGTAGGTTTGCGCCAATTAAGCTGCATGAAATGATCAATCGTTATGCCATGGAATCGTGTTCACCATCCATGGTGAACACGGTCTCAAACAGTAACGGTGCCTACGGGTACATTTTGCGGTTTCACTTCCTCTTCGCGAAAGTTTCTTCAACACTTATAAATTATGAATGTGCACGCATGGATTTATGAATGTGCAGTTATGAAATTATGAATTTTCTTTTATGAGATTATGAATTTTCTGTTATGAAATTATGAGTTTTTTATTATGAGATTATGAATTTTCTGTTATGAGATTATGAATGTACAGAAAATTCATAATCTCATAACAGAAAATTCATAATTTAATAAATATTTTTTTTTATGAGATTATGAATGTACAAAAAATTCATAATTACATAACTGTAAATTCATAATCTCATAACAGAAAATTTATAATTTAATAAATGTAAAGTCATAATATGAACATGCAAAATGCTGTTAATAGCACAGTAACTAATATTTTTTTTTGGTAAAAAGCGATATCGTTTGGATCCGTGTTCACGATGCTTGGTGAACACGTTTTCACGGCATAATTTGCGTGAAATGATTCTACCAGGTGGTGGAAGGAGTTGAAATTAAAATCACTTAGAATTCGAAGTTTGTGGACTCTACTTCTACTTTTTTCTTTTCTTCAATTCCCCACTACAACACAGCAACAGCCCCAGGGCCCAGACTCAAAGATCCAAAATCCAAACTTCCAAACCCAGTTTTTTTTTTTTTGTTCTTTATCTGAACTCTGAAGTAGAAAACCCTCTTCAGTGGATAACATTTTGTCTTCTTGCTCCTCCGTAAATGGAATGCGACGCCAAACCTAAATGCCATGTGGTGGCGGTGCCGTATCCCGGCCGAGGCCACGTCAACCCAATGATGAATCTCTGCAAGCTCATCGCCGTCCACCGCCCCGACACAGTCTTCACTTTCATACTCACTCAAGAGTGGTACGGCTTCATCGCCGCCGACCCCAAGCCGGAAAACCTCAGATTCGCCACCGTCCCCAACGTCATCCCTTCCGAGATTGGGCGGGCAAAGGACTTCGCCGCCTTCTTCAGGGCCACCCAGACCGAGCTGGAGGCGCCGGTGGAGGAGCTGCTGGATAGGCTCGACAGGCCTAAGCCCAATGTGATTATACACGACACGTACTTGCCGTGGGTGGTGTCGCTCGGGATTCGGAAGAATATTCCGGTGGCGTCGCTTTTCACCATGTCGGCGGCCACGCTTTCGGTGTTTCTTCACTGGGATCTCCTTGTCCAGAACGGCCACTCTCATAATCCCAACATTTCAGGCAAGTCTTTTCATCAATTTTCTTGTTTTCATTTTTATTATGTTCTTGTTTGGTAAAATAGTTGTTATTGTTCGCTGATAGCTGTTAGTTGTTAGTTGATTATGTTAATTAGAGGTATAAATAGTTGATAAAATTAGGTGATTGTAGAAAAATGTTTGATAAATTAGCTGTTAGCTGATTGTTTGGTATAATTTCCTTTTTTCAAAAAGCTAATTGAAAAAGTTGTTTGGAGTAATTTTTTTAATTTTGGCCCTGTTTGGTAAAAAATTGGTCTATAGGTCAATTTTGACTTATTTGATCACTATTAATTGTTTGATTTAGTTAAAATATTAATATAAATGTTTGATTAATTAGCTTTTTGCAACTCCAAAAGGCTAAAATTCAAAAAAGTTACTCCAAGTAACTTTTTCAATTAACTTTTTGAAAAAAGAAATTATATCAAACAGCTATCAGCTAACAACTAATTTACCAAACACTTTTCTACAATCAGCTAATGTTATCAACTATTTTGATACTGCTAATTATATGTAAGCAATATAAAATACCACGAGACTAATTAAAGCAAGTAAAATCTTTATTGATCACGGTAAAGGCCCTAAGTACAATCTACTTGGTTGCTCTGAGTACCGACTGAGTGCGGTCGGGATTCTCTAACAACAACCTATCGATCGTCCAAAAGTCCTCTACACTGTAGCTACTGTGGGCATTTATAGCCGCTGTGCCGGGGACAAGATTCCGGCTGCTCGGCATGTCTTCCACGTAGCCACCACGTGTCATCCTTCCGGGTGCCCTGTCTGTCGCCATGAAGAGCCGCCACGCGTCCTTTCGCGTCCTTGTGCCAGCTCTTTCGTCGAAGGGCTACCGCTCGGTGGTCGACACCAGCGTTCGGGCAACTTCCGGCCGTTCCCGACCGGGATCTCTATGAAAAAAGCCCGACCTGCTACCTGCAAGGATCAAAAAAGAAAGACAAAGGCAAGTCGGTCGTGGCGGAGCTTATGTCGGTCGGGATATTCCCTACCAAAAGCCCCCCAGCCCGGGCCTTTTTGATCAGTCGGGAAAAAACGGGACGGGATGAAGAAGCCCAACCGTCAGGCATTAGACCGACCGGCCAACTGTCATTCCCCTCCTCGCCACGTGTCGGCCACTGCCGGCCTCTGCGACTGCAACCGTCGCCTCGGATTCAGCGCCAGTCGTGTCACGCAAGTGGATTCATTTTCCCGCCTAAATGCTCTCCTATAAATAGGCCTTTGAGGCCCACATTTGAACTTTCCTCACTCTTGCGCATCCATCGGTACCCTCGGAGAGTCCCGAGCAGAGCACCTTAGCAAGGCAGTCGAGCAAGCAAACTTCGAACTTCAAGCTTCAATCTCCCTCCACTCGGTAAGCTCTTAATCCTTTTTCTTTACTTTAGGCTTTCAACTATAGGTAGAACGCTAGGTCAACTAACTGTCCCGGACGTCTCAAGTCCTTTACTAACCCCGACCGACCGTTAGGTAGATCGAAATGACGGACTCTGACAGTCAAAACGCCTCGATCGCGGATTATGATGAGGAGGTCGAGCATATCAGCGACGAGGAAGTGGACATTATGTCCTGCACTCCCGAAGCCAGCCCCCGAGCAACGCCAGCCCCTGAGCGAGCCGTCGAGCATAACAACGCATCAAGCTCCTCCGGGACGTCGAGCTCTAGCTCCAGCGGATCGGGGAGCTCCAGCGAAGAAGAGGAAGAGAGAACCACGTCAAGCGGGCGGGGTTCTCCGACCGAGGGCGTTAGGGAAACGCCTACCCGGGTGGTTGGGGACTACCCGGAAGCTGCTCCTCGAGGGGGTGATCGGGAAAATACCCCCGAGCAGACCGAAGAAGACCCGGCCGGGCCGGCCACACCAGCCGTCGAGCTCGAATTCTTGAACAGCGAGAGTGTCGAGCAAGAAATGAGCCTGCTGACCAAAGGCGAAGCGGCTCGGATTGCTGAAGTACTCCAGGGTCGGGTAGAATTCGACACGAGCCGGCAGCTGGGGAACGTAATTGACAGGCATCGGGGCAAGTGGATCGGGATGCATTACGACTCCCTAATGGCCCCGATTGCCATTCCCTTCCCGGCCCTCTTGACGGCCTTTCTAGCGTACTATCGGGTCGTTCCGGCTCAAATCTGCCCGAACGCCCACCGGATCCTCGCCTGCTTTCCGCAGATATGCACTCGGCACGAGGCCGAGTGCACGATGGAGTTGTTCAACTTCATCTACCAGATCAAGGTTCTCCCGGGCCGCTACGGGGGCGGGTTCCTGATGCTGCAATCCCGAGCAGATATGTGCGCCATCAAAGGCCTGCCCGGGAACAACAAGGGGTGGAAGAACAGAATTTTCTCCATCAAATACGACCCCTGGATCCTCCCGGTCGATCGCACTTGGAGCAGTCACTTCAGAAAGCAAGTGGTGCCGGCCGTGACTCAGGCGCTCAAGGAGACGGTCACTCGGATCTCGAGTGAAATACACGAGTATTCCATCTTCCGGACAGCCGAGAGTCTCGCAGCCGCCAAGCTCCCGCCCCCCACGTACGAGCTAAGGGAGAAGTATCTGCCCGTGCCGATGGGCGTGACGCTCGCCAAGCCGTCGAAACGAAAGAAGAAAGGTTTAGCTCGAGCTGATTCTCCCGACCTAGCTTAACATCTCGATCAAACTGACCGTTTCCCTTTTTGCAGTTATGGCCGAATTCGGTGATGAAGACACCGCCCTTCCCCCGCCCGCCAAGATCTCCCTCGGCGGGAAGAAGAAGACAAAGACCAAGGCGGCCGGGGAAAAGGAGATTCCCTCTGCCCGACCCCTGAGCGCCTCGACCGTGACGACGGGCGAGGGCTTCATCGTCGAGCAGCCTGACGTCTTGGTCACCCGGGTAGAGGTCGCCCGGGGCAAGGAGAAGGTCGCCGACCAGGGCGCGACCGAGGTGGGCAGCCTGAAGCGCCGCCGTGAGCAGCGCAGCCCGAGCCCTTCGGTCGGGCGAGAAAGGGACTCTACGTCCATGCTGGCCCGGATCGGCAACGCCGCGCCAGCCAAGGAGGATCTGGGGAAGATGACCCCGACCCAAGTGGCCGAGCGGATCGGCCACGACCTGGCCGAGGTAAACTTTTCTCAACTAACAGCTTTCTTGCTAATCCCGAACGTCTTTTGTTTTGCAGATTTCCCGGGCCGCCCAGCTCCTACAAGGTCGAGCCATGCTGGCCGAGGAAGCTGATCACCATAAGAAGACGGCCGCCCGTCGCTTGAAGGAGATCAAGGACCTCCAAGCCGAGCTGGAGAAGACCCAGAAGGCCCTGAAGAAGGGCGACGAGGAGCGGGTTCTTGCCGAGAAGGTCGCCAGCCGGGCGATCGGAGAAGCCAAGGGGCTGAAGGCTCAGCTCGAGAATCCGAGCGAGCTGGCGCGGGCAGCCTTCAAAGACAAGGACTTGGGCTCGGCCTTCCTCACAGCAGCCCGGGGAACAGAGATCGGGGAAGAGCTGATCGTCTCGTTCGGTCGCTGGGGCTTTACGGCCGGGAAACGGAAGATGCTTGAACGAGTCCGTTCCCGGTTGGAGCAGGCTCTAGACGGGGAAGATCTTCAGCTGGTCCTCTCGGCATTGCCCCCAGACCTAGCCGATCCCGGTCCCTCTCCCTTCGCCTCAAAAGCCAAGGCGTCTGAGTCCGGGGCACCAACGGCGGTCACCTCAAGCGGGAAGGAGGCGGCTGTTGGAGCTCAGGAGACGAAAAAATAGGCTAGGCTATCTCCTCTTCTTTTTGTAAGGAACATTGATCGGGAGTCCGGTCCCAATTTGTACCGGGCACCTTTTGCCAATTAACAATTTAATTTTTTGTCCACTTGTATCGCTCGTTCTCTGTTTCCTTTTATTTTTAATCTGCACACACCGACCATAATTGCTCGACCGCCTGGCCTCTAGACCTGGTCTTGCTGTACTCGATCCACTCAACGCCCGACCTTACGACCTTATGGCCTGGTCGTGCGATCGATATTTCGACGTCAAAACTGGCCAACCGATCGGGTTTGCCCGATCTCCGGGCCTTTGTCGAAAAAATTCTTGAAAATGAGCAAGCCTCTACGGTCGGAATATAACCGAGCAACGGGCCGGCAAATACTTCCTTATCCCAGCCCCCACACTATTGTGCGCTCGAGGCACGAGTGGGTGCGATAGTGGACAGAAGTTAGACGGATCGGGGAATAATGCTGAGAGCTCCTGGCTTCCCCGATCAGCGGCGTGACTTGAGTGTCCGCCTATGTGGAGCGCGTTTTGACCGGTCGATAGACTTCGCCCGATTGATTGAATGTTGAATTAATCTGCATGTAACGAGGGTGAAAGAAAATAACCGATCGGGCCGCCGCATACAAACGGTCGAGCAATCATCGATCGTATATACATTAAACTTTCCCGCTCGCAGGCGGTTGAATTAATTTTACAACCATAAACTTACATAGAAATGACGACCGGGACTAACTCGCAGGTCAAGCCCTCACTTCGTCTTAGAAAATACAAAAAATAGGCTAATGCCTAAAAAGAACGAGGTGCTCGGAATTCCAAGTCCCCTCGATTAGCCGACCAGCTGTTGTCTCTAATCGGTATGTACCCGGCCGTATGACAGCGTTGATGATGTACGGCCCTTCCCAGTTCTGAGCTAGCTTTCCACCCTCTAAAGGCTGACTGGCCTCCCTTCGTCGTAGAACGTAATCTCCGACTTGAAAATAACGAGGGTTGACCCGAACGTCTTTCGAACTTTTGACACGTTTTTGGTACTCGGCCATACGCCGAGCGGCTAACTCTCGTTTTTCCTCGACCCCATCAAGGTCCACGGTCATCGCGTGTTCGTTCTCTTCCGCATTATAGGTTCTCTCTCGATCGGTCGGAATCCAGGCCTCGATCGGAAGTCGGGCCTCAGCTCCGTAAACCAGGGCGAAAGGGGTCTCCAAAGTAGCTTCCCTCGGGGTCGTCCGATAAGTCCATAAGACATATGGCAACTCA